CACGTTTCCAGCCTTTCCTCTGCGATCGTCAGGCGGCAATTCTCGTGCCTCTGACACCCCAGGCTTAAGGATTGCACCCGGTTATTGTCAGACTTAAGCGGAAAAACCCCCCAAAAGTGTGCGAGGTGGGAGCACCGCACAGGGAAAGGCGCGGAAAGGAGCCGCCCTGGCTCGCCCGCGCTGGCGGCTCCTGCGACGCTGCAGCACTGCAGCACGGGGCGCTTTAGGCCAAGGTTGCGCCCGTCCCGCTCTGGCTCGTATTTGCTAGTCGAATGCTGTGGCTTGGGCCAACAAATCCCCACTGGCATCGTTTAAACATGATTTAGACGGCGGTAACTGCCTGGATGAGCTCAAGTGGAATTCAGTGCACGCAGTGCCTGAAACACTGAATAAATTGAGAAGGAACGAATATCTTCCAGGAATAAAATACTCTGGGGTTGCCATAGCAATCTGTCATTTCCATGTGTTTTGGTACCTGGGAGAGCCTGCCGGCCTGGGGTTTGCCACCCATCCGGCCTTCCGTCTTTCACTTATTTCCCCCTGGCTTTGCTCTGATGGCTTCCTCTGTGCCTCGCACGGAAGAGCAGCCAGGCTCTGAGAGAAATTACGCCAGGCTACCAAAACCCAGCTGCCCCCCCGGAGCCTGCGGAGAAGGGGCAAGGACTGCTCAGTTTGTTCTCTTTCCTGCCCTGCGCTCGTCCTGCAGCAGCTGGAGCACAGCAGCGGCACATCTCTGCTCTCCGTGGAAGCTCTCGGCAAGCTCAGGCTGGATCGATGCACCCAGCTCACGTACTCCGTGAGGGGTCGGCAACTCCAGAGGCAGGACTGGGTGTGAGGCACTCAAATTTGGTAGTTACTTTCCCTAAAGTCCTGCCCTGCTCCCACCTTCCCAGCGGTCACCCTGGTGAGCTGCAGTATGAACCCCTCAGGCAGTACATAGCTGCTACAAATGATGTGTTTTGAAGGCCCTAAGGTTATATGCGTTTTCAATAGGTTTTGTCGAGCCATGCTTTATCGGTGAGGTAAATGCATAAATTTTCATGAACGATATACAAATGCATAGCAAAGTAGGGCAGTTCTGCTTAGTAGTAGTACTTCAGTGTCAAAACATGGATCTTTGTGCTATTTGGGGATGTAAATCAGAAAGAGTTTAAAAACAGTGCGAGACCAGACTCAGCTTCAGTTTATCTATCCACAGTAGGCATGCACCCAGTTCCTGAGTTCCTCTTTCCTCTGTGCTTGTTTTTTTGTTGCATTTAATCTAGTGGAAGGATGCATCTTTGTTTCACAGATATCAGAGGACCCTCTGGGTTGAGACCTTTCACAGCTGTGACCTGTGCCCTCTGTAAATTGTGAGCATTTGTATTTTCATTAGGATTTCACTGCGTTTTTTGGAAGAGTGGGCTCTGACTGGAGTGCCCAGGCTGAATGCTATTAGGGGA